GAAGTGTCTTTAGGCCTTTTCCAAAGGTGGGACATTTCTCGTTCTAATGCACTGTAGAATTGTAAATGGACTGATCCAACAATGTCATGCTTATAACTGTGCCTGAACTACAACAGGGAACTGCTGCATTTTCTTTCCTAATCTTTACTGTCATCATTTTCCTCTACTTCTTTTGTATGTTTGTCACTCTCTTGTGACCCACTTTTTCCGGGATGCCTTGATGGTCGAAGCAGACTTTGTGCTGTAGAAACTAGAAAGGTTAGCAGCTCAGCAGAGTAAATCTGATTCTCTGTAAGGACTTCTCTGTTGACATCCACCCCTTGGAGCTCATATGACCTTATGAAGTTGCGAGCGCTGTAAAACCTCTACTAAAACTAAACTAAAGGTCCGTCTAGCGAGGTTGGTCGCTTGTGGTCGTCGTGACAGTAGCCAGGATAAAGCAGCACCTATACCGAGAGAACTGGTGCCTCTATAATAATATGTTTATTTATGAAAGGTAAGGGGTTTTGGTTTTTTTTTGCGCTTCAATAGACACAATTTAGATCGTTTACAAGGCAGACATCGCTCATTTCTACCAGGGTCAACCCGGGCTGAGACGGATACAAAAGTCTCAAAAGAAAGGCCGAGACATCGATACAGATTCTCCACACACCAGAACCGAACTCAGGTCTTCTGCGTGTCACAGCAGGGCATTTATAAGCGCAACACCGCCCAGACTCCGGCCCACTTGGCTTTTGTTTCATTTGAGATGGGCGTTAACTCCAGAAGTCCCTCCACCTAGATAACTTAAAACATTTTTGTAAATGTTTTACGCGCTCGCAACTGGTGCCTCATTAGACGGCTTGATGCCCATTGCATTTGCTGCTCTCCAACTGGATCTGTCAGGAAAAAGCCTCTACCATGTACTGATCAGCGATTCGCTGTATTTTTACCTTTTAGCCTGAAGTGTCCGTAAACGTACATTGTCAATTTAAAAAGCAGATCGTGAAACACCCCTCTTCTGACGCTTAAAACACGCACGAGCCTTAGGCTGGATAGGAAAATACGTCACATTTTGCACTGGGGAACTTTCTGACCGCCCAAACCCCGACGCCTGCCAATAATATTATGAAGTGACACTGGGGATAGGTACAGAAACTATTCCCAGCGACAACGAAACTCTTTCGCTTAAAAAAAAAATAGAAGTCTTTGCACTGTAGACTCTCTTCTCACTTCAGTTCAGTACTTTTGTTCTCTTCTCTTCTTACTTAGGGCTTAAACTTGACCATAGAATAGATCTAGAATCTAGACCTAGAAGAAAGAAAAATCGGGAAGGATTTCTACCTTTCCTGTCTCCAAAATCCGTTTGTAGACCTAGATGTACACGTAGATGTACACGTAGATCTAGGCCTACATTTCAATTACGACTGAATAACAAGCAAGCATAGAATGATCATTCCTTTTTCTTTAAAAAAAATTCTTCCACTCACACCAAAATCTACTTAGTTTTGTTAGATCTAAAATCTAGATCTAGATCTACATTAGATATAGTCTAATATTAAATTAGTAACTCATCACCATCATGCCCATGTAGATCAGTGTGGGAACAATAGATCTAATGGGCCTGTCTGTTCTCAGTGTCACTGGGAATAGTTTCTGGGCCTATTTCCAGTGACACTGGGAACAATTCCGCTCTAGGCAGTTTTGCCAGTTGTTTCTGGGCCTATTCCCAGTTATAAGTGCGGTCTATACCAGGGCAATTGTAATGGTTATTGTATAATATGAAAACACTGCTGACACTTTTTAGTTCCACGAGAGGAGACAACAGTTCTAGATTCGACGACCACTACTCTTGAGAAAAGAAGATAGGGCAAGTTTATCCCACGTGAGAGTTCAAGAATCAGATTCGAGAGAACAAAATGCGCTCGTCAAAATTATGAAATCAGAGAAACCGAAATTGTTTTGTTCGTTGACTCGTTGAGCACTTTTTATTCCCCCCCTCTCTCTCTCTCTCTCTTCCTCCCTCCCCCCCCCCCCCCCCTCCCTTTTTTTCTTTTTCTTAGCTCAACAACTTTTATATGCTTTAAAATGTTTAGACCTACATCTGTGAGCATTTTACTGGAAATGTTGATCTAGGACATTGAAAAAAAAAAATTCCCATGGACACTCAAGCTTAGAAGTCACCAAGCTTTGGCAGTCATTTCCTCGCTAATTTAATTTTAGACACTAAGTGACCCCACCTTTTTCAATGGCAAAATTAATATCTCGACTTCTATTCAAGATAGATGGGTATTGTTATTCACCAACTTGCTTTAAAATGATACCAATAAAACGCCATGTGCCCGAAATTAAAAAAAATTGTCGAGGGCATGATTCCACCTTGTCGTGACAGAGATGCTGGAAGAGGAAGCACTTTTCCCGAGGAAGAATGCCTCTTTATCACGCTGCAATTAGGTGCGGTGTTGGGGTGGGTGGGGTG